GAGAGAGAGAGAGAGAGAGAGAGAGAGAGAGATGCACGGAGGCGGGAAGAGAAGACTTGACGGATGAGGACGCGGAGGAGGAAGAGGCGAAAGGAGCCCCACCGCCAGACGGGCGCCGGGATCGCAGCCTCTAGTCTCGCGTCCCCGAAGTTGACTTTGTTTCCGAGGGACCGCGCTGGGATGGTGAAAACCTTGTCCAAGGTGCCGCTCCACGAAGACGTTCCGGTCCCCCTGACCCCTCGCCACTTCGGAGCCGGATGTGTGGTCTCCGAGTCCAGGTCTGCGCGAGCAGCCCGGAGCCCACGAACTCCTTCCTGGACGCTCGCCGGTCCATCGGCGCCGGACGCCTCCGAGAAACCCCTTTCCCAGACAGGCCACGGCGCCAGGTGTCCCGGGTAGAGCGAACCCGCGTCGCCCGTGGAGGAGAGGAAGCAGCAGTCGCAGCTCCTGGATTTGCCCTCTGGGGCTCCTTGAAGTCGCCTCCTTCTCCGTCCTCTCTGCCCACAATCAAATAGTTTGTTAAAGTTGAACTGGCGGCTGGGACTAGGGGGATTCTAGCCACAAGGTCGCACCCTTGAAAAGAGCAAAAGTGCTCTCGCTCCGGACGGAAGGGCGGGCGACCCCCTCCCGCCGTCTGTGCGCCCCAGGCCTTCAGCTGAAGGTGATCTGGTGGCCACTTTGGCACTGGCCGCGACAGTTGGCAGGGAGGGGTGTGCAGTCACTCGGGCTCTCGAGGGCGCCTCCAGGGTTCCCGGACTCGGTGTCGGGTCAGCCGCTTTGCCTGGAGCCGCAGGAAACGCAGCTTGAGCGGCTCGGTGACGCCGGGGTCTCCGGAGCACGCTGTCCGCCTCAGAACACAGGGGCTTCTCCAAGCAGCCCTGGGGCGAAGGTCCTCGAGATCAACCCTCCTCAGGGGCCTGCGGTCTCCAGCGCTGGCTCTGGGGATCCCGCCGTCCCGCTGAGCCGGGTGCAACTTTTCGGAAGAGCGAGGGAAGGAGAAGGGCGAGGCGGGATTGCCCAAGCCTGGGCTCTGAGCTTCGCACCCTCTCCGGGTCCTCGCCGCGGTCTGCTTGGAGCAGCCTCGGCCGGACAGGTAGCCGGGACTGAGACGCAGCAATCCCGAACGAGGCCCTCACCCCCACCCCCGGCTCCAGTTCCGTCTGTCGCAGCTGGCCGGGCAGCCAGGAGAGCACTGGGGCTGCCGCCGGGAAAGGGGAGGAACTGCTCTGGACTTCAGCTGGCCACGGGCGTCCCCGGGTTCCCGCAGTGGCGCGAAGTGGGACCCTCGAAGGCACTGCCATCCGACCCCACAGCCTCAGGCCTCCTCTGCCGATCTCCGCTTCGTTATTGAAAGTCATAAAAGGCCCGGTCCGGGACCCTGGAGCCGGTACTGGACTTGCCCTTCTGTGGTGTGTTTGGGCGGTTAGTAACACCGAGTCTTTTCTCTCTTTCTCTGCGCCGGGCGCCCCTCCTGTGTCTTCCTGCGCAGCGGTGTCGCCTTGTCCCGGGCCCACTTTGAGAAGCAGCCGCCTTCTAATTTGAGGAAATCCAACTTCTTTCATTTCGTGCTGGCGCTCTACGACAGGCAGGGGCAGCCAGTGGAGATCGAGCGCACGGCCTTCGTGGACTTCGTGGAGAACGACAAAGTGAGTGGACCCCCCCCCCGCCTAGTCACCCCCTCCTTGCACAGCGCTGAAGATTCCATCTGTCACTAGCGACACTTTCCCTCTCGCCTCGTCAGGGATGATAAATCGAGGCTTCTCACCCCCAGCCTCTAAATCAGTCGATTTCCCCGCACCTCCTCCACCCCCAGACCCGCGCCCAGCACCGCAGGAGCACTCAGGGCTGTGTGAGCCCGGCCTTGGGGCTCCTCTGAAGCTCGGTGAACGGTGAACGCATGGGAAGGCTCTTCCCACCAGAGTTTAAAAGTACCCCAGGGCGGCCGCTGCCCTTCTCTGGGTTGGCTTTAGTATTTGCACCAGCCAGCAAGCCGAGTAGGGCTGACTTAGCCCCAGGAAGAATCTCTGCCCAGCCTTGGCCCTCCTGCCCTGTGCGCCTTCTCCGTGCGCTCACCTCCCTAAGGCTGTGCCTCCTTCGAACTCAAGCCCCGCTTTGGGGGCTGGACTTGACCCCAAATGAAGGACAGCCTATGCCAAACTATCTGTGACCGCAGGAAAAATCTCTGCCCTCCTTCGGCCTGTCTCCCCGGCTATACAAAGTGACTTTCAGAGTAGCCGCTTCCAAGCTCCCTCTCAGATCTGGAACTCGATTCCAGAGCTCTGGGCCGGTCGCTCCAGCTGGTGGCCTGTTAGGGCCCCGTGCTGCCTTTCCAAACGACAGGTCCCTTTACCCTTCTGTCGGAGTCGCCTAGGGGATAGACAGAGCCAGATGGGTTGGGTGGGGCCTGTTCAAAGGCGGCTTTGGTGAGGTGTCCGGTTATCACGCTGGGGGGCTGTGCGGTTCTGGTGAGGTTTTTAAGGGGCAGAGACAGAGGGCCGGAGGGGTCAAATGGCTGTGAGTCATGGCAAATTCCCGAGGTGGCCAGAGGCAGAACTGGCAGACGTTTCTCTCCTCCTGATCCTGGGCACAGGGGTTGTTCAAGGCAGTGGGAGGTGGCTGGAGGACCAGCACTCTTTCCTGTTTTTCTCTTTTTCTTTTTCCTTTTTTTGGCGGGGGTGTGGGGCTGAAAAGCAAGGGAACCCAACACCTTCTGTCTTCCAGGAACAAGGCAACGAGAAGACCAACAACGGCACCCACTACAAGCTACAGCTCCTCTACAGCAACGGTGAGATTGTGGGGGCCTCAGGGAGCAGGGCTGTGGGAGTTGGGCTGGAGCTGGGGATCGGGAGGCGCTCTGCCCCGTGGTACCCCCACTGCGGGTGTAGGTGAGGGGCCGGCGCCCCTGACTTCTGCCCCCCCGTTCTCCCACAGGTGTCCGCACGGAGCAGGACCTCTATGTCAGGCTGATCGATTCTGTCACCAAGCAGGTGAGCCCAGTGGGCCACCTGGCTCTTCCTCGGCCACCTCCAGTCCCCTGCCCTGCATGCTTCCCTAGTCTGGACCTCGCACTTCCCCCACTGCCGCACTCTTTGTCCACTCTGGAGGGAAAATGCCTCAGAAGGAAACCAGCAAAGGATGAAGAGAAGTTTCAACCCCTCTCCCGCAAGCATTCCTTTTTTGCTGAGAACTCAGGAACAAACTTCTCTCTTACAGCTTCAGCTGAGTTAAGCTGGCAGTTGCTCACATTCAGTGTGGGGGGACCCCTAGTGAGGCAGAAGGGGACGAAGACTTCCTGTGCTGCTTCTAAAGTCCTCTCTTTGTGTCCCACCCGTTTCATACCTCCCCCGCCCCCCACCCGGTTCGCAGCCCATAGCTTACGAGGGACAGAATAAGAATCCGGAAATGTGCCGAGTTCTCCTGACTCACGAGGTGATGTGCAGGTAAGAGCCACCTTGTCCAGGACTGGCCAGAAAGCTGGGCAGGTGGATGCGCCTGTCCCGCCGTTGTGCATTTCTCAATTGACCTTCTGGAGCTGAGGCGCAGCCGACCCTCCAGAACCCTTCCCCCTTTTAAGGCTGGTTCCTTAGACCTAGTGGTTAGGGAAGGAAACCCAGAAGACTCAAAGTCCATCCCCCTCCCGGAGGGGCAGGAGTTCCCAGGGTTGTTTGGAAAGTGCCCGCTGTCCACCAGCAGTGAGGGCAGCCTCAGCCGGCTTGGGCTTTACTTGGAGATCTGGGACTTTCCCTGAGTGTATCTCCGGCCACTCTGGGTTCCCACCATGCCTGCTCCTCCCAGAGTTCTGGCCACTTGTGGAGTTAGTTACAGAGCCCAAGCCTTGGGAACACGCACGGTCCTGGGAGGGACCCCAATGGCCAGCCTGTCTGGGCCTCCAGGGCATTTCTTTCCTCCTGGGGAAGTCACTTCTAAAACTTCAGGTCAGGGGTGCTTAGGCCAGAAGGAACCTCCCTGTGGCAAGATCACTCCTGGTCCCCCGTGGGTGGAGGAAGGGACGCCTGCATCCCCTGGTCCAGGCAACAGCTGGAGGGGGCTCAGTGAAAACTGCAGTGGCTTGGGCTCCTGCCCCTTTCCCATCTGCCTTCAGACAGGATCCATTCTGAGTCCCCATGTTTTGCCCTGTTTCTTCTGTGTGAGTGGAAGAAAGTAAATTAGGAGAAATTCGTTCATACACTTATTCTTTCAACAAATGTTTCTCTGAGTGTCTAGTATGTGAGTATGTTTGGTGTTGGGGTCCTACTGAACATGAGAAGAGATGTAAAACACACCCTGGACAGAGCATGGCTAATTCACTATAAAAATTGAAATGTCTGTTCTATGAATGTATTTCTTTCACCTCCGCCCCCTAGTCTGATTGGAAGGAAAACCTCAATTCTTCCTTACTTTGGTTTTGCTTCAGTGAGTGCTTTCCAACCCCAGAAGTTGCTAGTTTTGGGCACTTGCAGGCCATGACTTAGAAGGGATTATTATATGGTCAGATCCCTGAAGCCCTATCTCCCTCATCAGCCCAGTCGGGAAGAAATCAAAACAACCAGACACGGTTGTTTTGGTTTTGGTTTTGCCCAAGTATTAGCAAAGCAAACTTGCCACAGGCAAGTAAAACTCTGCCAGTGGCTTTTGCTGAGCCCAGAGGCTTGATGAGGGAGCGGCAGGGAAGTGAAGTGAGAAGACACGGGGTACCTTATTACTCCAGAGCCCCTTGATAGATTTGTTTAGGAAGGAAATACAATTTGAAGACACGCCCGCATATAATACCCAGACTAAACAGAATGTGTTCATTTGGTTGGGTTGTCAAAGGGAGGTTTTAATTCCTTTCTTCATTTTGAAGTCTTTGTTTGAAGAGACAGCCTTCTTACCAGAGAAGGAAACGAACCTCTAACCTCGCCCTTTGTCTAATGATTGCACCCATCACTTTAAATAATTCTCGAACCCCATCCAGCTGTAGTAAGGCTGACATTTTTATTTTTAAGCCCAATCAAATCCTTCTCATTTCTGCTGCCTAAGTAGCAGCATCAATTTTTAAAGCCTCTAGTTTAGTCTGCATTAGTAACACAGTATAAAAATTTAATGTACTGTAACTTCTCTGCATTGGAGACCTGGGAAGATGCTCTGTTACTTTCTCCCCAAACTAAAATTGAAAACAAATATTAATTATGGGTAAATAAATGATCCATTGGATGGGTAGTGTTTGCAGATAGTGTGTGTGTGTGTGTGTGTGTGTGTGAGTGTGTGTGCGCGTGTGTGCTGAGAGATGAGGTGGGTAGAGGCAGGTATTGGCTGTCTGGAAGAAAAGTTTTCCTTCAATCTGTCAGAGCACACTGGTTCTCCCGGAAGGCAGAGTTCCTTCTCCTGCTGTTGGAGGGCTGGTTACAGCCTTCAGCAGTCGGGAAAGGGGAATGAAGCAGAGGCCCAGTCTGTCAAAGAGCCCGAAGGCCCTTGCTGTCATTTGCGGTGTTATCTGGCTTACCTGAGCACTCCCTGGATTGGTTTTTATGCCCTACCATCTTGTATAAAAGGCTCCCAGACTGGTGCTTAGCTTTGGGGGTTGGGTGGGGGGAGAAAACAAAAAAGGATAAAATGAATCTCTTTCGGAGTAACTTTTCTTTCTCCTCCAGTCGTCTGTGCCCTTCTCGTCCCTGCTTTAGTTCATTTTGCCAATTATTAGTAAGGAGAAATCTAGCTGTTATGTTGCTGCCAGCCACCCCTGTGCCCTTAATGCTCAGAGGGTTAAAAGATATTATAATTTGAACAGAAGTCGTCTCAAGGCCTACAGCTGGCTAATAACAGAGCTGTATTGAGGGCGAGCAAACCCCACAGCTGTGACTTTCGCCACGAGGCGCAGGCTAGACAGGGCCCTAATCAGATGGGCCAGCCGGGCAGTGGGGCCAGCGTCTTTATCGGCCAGATGGTGTGAATTTAGACACTTTTGTTATGCAATCACAGGGAGGAGTTGGGGAGAAGAAAACAAAACAAAAGCCACCATGCTGTGCGCTTATTTGAGTTTGAAATTAGAGACAGATTTTTGAAAGTTGAGGGTTGAATTTTAAAAACGATTTTGGAGGGGGAAAGGGACACATTAGCTAATCTTGAGCCAGAGTTCGGCTGACTGGACACCCTGTGTCTAAGGCTGGGACCTTTATTATTATTAGTTTCTTCCTCCCCAGCCCTCTTTTATCTCTCTCCTTGTATGGTTCCTGAAAAATGCAGGTAAGATGCAGGATGGTGATAAAATTTCTCATATTCCCTGCTACCTCACACCCCCCCCTCACTTGTCTTATTCTTTCTCTTTCCCTCTTCAAAGACACCGTGCGGAGTTGGGGAGGGCTAAAGAGGCCTGCGAGCAAACCGAGAGTGTTTCAAGTAGAAGGTTCTCCAAATAAGTCCCGGAGTAAAATAAACCAAACCGAGCCAGTCAGAGACACACATTTTCATTTATTAGCAAAGAGAAGCACCCAAGCCCTCTGGAGCAGTTAGGAACACAATCTTAACCTATATCCAAGTTGAGTTTCCTTTCCTTTCCATATATATATATATTCCTTTTCCCACTGTGCAGTTATTGTCAGCTTTAAAAGGAAACTTTGCTGGGACTTCAGACTTTGAGATTGGCACGTTGGAAAAGAGCTCTTAAGAGCCTTTTAACTAAAATAGCTGAACCTGAAGTTGGTCATACAGGCTTTGTCTGTAGAGCAAAGGGAAGGTGACATTAGCTTTGTCATCTGAGTAATCCAAGGCCCCAGTCCCTTAGGGTCAACTGTCTCATTTTCTTGGGTTTTCTTCACTCCCCTCTGCTTGTGTTAATAATGCTGCTACGAGGACCAAGCGCCATTTCACATATAAAATAAAGAACAACTAGAACATATTAATGAGAATTTTTGTTAAAAAGAAAAGAAAAATTTTGCTTTGGCTAACTTAGAGATTCTGAAAAAAATTTAAGGGCTCAACTAGGGCAAATACAACCAAGTCCTATTATTTTTACACGTTTGCTTGTATAGTTCAATAGTCAAGTAAGTGTCTGTCTATCTTTTCTCTGGTGGATATTAACATTAGAGATTATATTTGAATTTGTTACTGTTGGAAAAAAGAATCCTGGGCCCTAAAGTTTCTTTGCATTTTCCTTTGCGTATGGTTTCCTTCCCTGAGTTGATTCTCCACATTGTATTCCACTGGCAACAAGCGTACATTTTTATCTGTTTTTCTTTTCCTCCAGAGGCAATCCCCATGGAAAGCAGCTGAATTCAGCTGAGCAGTTTTGCAAACTTACACAGCCTCCTCAGAATCACTGCTCCCCAACCCAAACAGATTGGCACTATTCTGACAGTGTGTGCTCTCATCATGAAATGGTATCTGGCATGGCACACAGATTTGGGGTTAGGTTGACCAGTTGGTGATGTTGAAGGAGCGTCTAGCCTCAAGGTCCTTAGGTCACTGGCATGTATCGCCCTTTTGAAATCCTGTTGCTAAGAGAAGTGGTTTGCCTGTACTGCTGAGACATTGCATGGGCATAAAGCAATCCTCCAGAAATAGCAGAGGTGGGAACCAGAAATGGAGGGCGGTAGGGAGTCAGAAGGGACCGAGGGCTTTGGGAGGCAGGTATGCAGCTGGCCAGCATTTTTATTGGTGTTAATCTTGGGATAGGTTGAAATTTTAAAAGCGAAGACCTAACATAATTTCAGAGGCCAAATATTATTTCAGCAAATCCCAGTGGCAAACTGGTATTTAGGAAAGTCGAGACCATTTTTCTTTACTTTCTACTCTTTTGATTAAATTTCTTAGAACCTCATCATGCCCATTGGATGAAAATGTTTTGGCATTTCTCAAGTGCATTTTACTTCCTGAGGATGGTAGCCTTGTTCACTGACTAATCCATACATCCCTGCCTGAGAGGGGTGGGATTGAAAAGTTTTACAATCTTAATTTATTCATATATTTTTAATTCCATGGGTGATCAGAGAGAACACAGAGGACCACAAAGCAAACCTATGGCCGGGCCAGGGAGAGCTTTTGGGTTCCCGCTGCCCTATGCCTCTTCCCTTGTCCTTGGGCCCCTGTCATTTGCAAAGAGTGCGTATGGAATCTCATAGCCTCTTAAACTTCAACCAAGTAGGGGCTCCAAAGAAAACTGAGCCAGCACTTTCATTTTATGCATCTGGCAGGTGAAGCTCACAGGGGTTAAAGAGATCTGACTAAATTCGTACAGCTGGTCAGTGACGAGTTGGGTGCCAGCATTTTCTCCCTATGGCACGACCCTGATTCTGGCTGTAGAGAAACCATCCTGAGAAAGAGCGCCCGAGTACAGTTTGGATACCATCAATACCTACTGGACATCTCTACCCGGAAGCGATGAGCGTGGTTGTCTCATAAGCAGTGTCAAGGATACATCTAGAGTGGAATACGCTTGATGGTGAACAAGCTGGGAGGGATTCTGAAGTCTGTGTCCTGACAAGCAGCATTTGGGTGACATGTTGTTGTTGGTGTGGGGCGATTATCCCCAAACTCCCTTTGCTTTTCTCATGTTTGTTCTTGTATTTTAAACCGACACTGGTGCATTGGGTGCTTTGCTGTCTCTCTCAGGACCTTTTGCATGCTTCTTTCTGTTCCATTTTGTCTGGAGGATCCTCTGCCCACTTCCTCTCTCCCAGCCCCTCCAGGCTTGGCACCCAGCTGTCTGTCTGTCTGTCTGTCAGTCAGGTAGCCAGAACTTTGGGAAGCGAAAGCTTTAGGATTGGGATTTTGGTGTAGGCGAGTCTCATTTCTGTTCCAAACTTGGTGGAAAGTCATTGGCAATATCACGTGCCAACTCCCTGCCTCATTTTCTTCCTATTTTAAGGTTCTGGAGTTCTTCCTTCATCTTTGGGAAATGATGGAAATGAGCGAGTGAATAAATGTTTATAAAGTACACCAAGTTCTCCAGAGAAAAATGTTATGTAAATAAGGATTATAACAATGCAGACAGCTACTTGTGGTGTACTTTATACACCTTCCTTCCCCTTCTCTCTTCAAATATTTACTGGAATGTGAGGACCTAAAATATACAATCATAAAACCCTTGAACCCTGGCCTGGCAGTGACCTTGTAGATATTAAAGAGCACACAGTCATAAAATCATTAAACACCAGTCTGGAAGTGGTCTTATAGATCTTAAAACCCAACCATCCGTGTTTTGGTTATGAATATAGCTCTTGGGAAAGTTGTGATTTGTGGAATATTAGCCAGGTTGTAAGTCATAGAGTGAGAATTTGAATGAGTGTACTTTGGCTTCGGGTTCCTTTCTTAAAAATGAAATATGGTCACAAATTTTGCCCTCAAGAAGCTTATAGCTGGGAGGCTATCTTGGACTTTTTAAAAAAAAATTTGGTGAACATTCTTATATTGTATTCTCATTGTTTGTTTTGTCTAATATACTTCTTTTTTTAACGCTTTTGATTCTCTCCCAATCTACAGTCGATGTTGTGAAAAGAAAAGCTGTGGAAACCGAAATGAGACACCTTCGGACCCTGTTATCATTGACAGGTAAGAGAAGATGTGATTTTTGGATTAGTTTTGGTTTCTTTCCTTCATGAAACTCACTGATGAGTGCTGGCCCCTTGCGCTGTGTGGAAAGGTTGGTTTCATGCTTTCTTCAAGGGGTTGAGGGATTCCAGCAGGGGTTTCCTTGTGTGGTTGGACACTCTTGGAAGAAGTCCAAATCTTCCTGCCAGAACCTGCTTCTATATGTAGAACAGATTCTTTTCCAGGTGCACTAACTTCAGCCTGATGCGGAATGGCACGATAAAGCAGGGTTCAGGTTGCTTGCTGTCTCTCATGAATGCCAGGTACGGCTTCAGTCACTTTTTGAGGAGAGCAATGCACCCCGAGTTCAGTGGCATCTTTCTGCCATGCTCACTGATTGCAGTGAAGCTTGGAGGCTGTCAGTTTGGATTCCACCACAGGGGCTCATAACAAGATCTCTCTTGCGTTGAGGGAGATTTCTGTCTACCGAGTATGTCTACAACATAACGCGTTCTGGGTTCTATGGTACATTCAGATTCTTTGGGACAAGATGCTAATTCACTGAAATATGATTTAGGCATCCTCAGCTGTCTGTTTTTGTGATTGGAAACAGAACTTACAAACCAACCAAGAAATACCAAATTAACTTCCAGTAATCGTGTAATTTTTAAGAAACCCCATATTCCCACCCCTAATTTTTTCTTTTTCGTTAAAAAACGGAATAATTCCCCATTGCTTCTTTCTTTGGGTTTTCACGTTTCTAGCCAGGTCTTGAAATGGATTGGAGAGACCACAGTCTCCAAAGTTGTTATTCCAATATTCCAGTGAATTCTCAGTTGGGAGAATGGAACCTCTGGCATTCTTCCCAGAAAGCCAGCTTGGTTTCCTTGTGGAAAGTATAGCATAGCTGTAGGAATCGAGGAGGCTGAAATTCTGATCCCATCGTAGCTTCTGACCTTGCACAAAGCGCTCAGCACCTCTGTTCTCCAGTGGTGTAGCCATGGGTGGAGGGGGCCACCTTCTGCTGGGGACTCAGGCTGCAGGAGTGGCCGTAGCTGAGTGCTCTCTGAGATGCCCGTAGTTGAGTGCTCTCTGAGATGCCCAGAGACACGCAAGTGGAAAATGCTTGCTGGCTGGGTATGGTGCCTTTGCCGTTTTATGGAGCTGTGCAAGTGCAGACAAGTACAGAGTTGTAAGGACTCTTTGGGGTCATTCATCTTCCTCATTTTATAGATGACAGCACCGAACCCAGAGTGCTGACATGACTTGTGAGCTAGGAGGGCAGAGCTGGTCCCAGAACACAGCTATCTTTACAGCTAGGTGCATGCTCCTTTCTCGGCCACAGCATCATTCTTTCAGCATGCTCTCTGTCCTAACTGGTGAGCTGGGTCTGCTGACTGCACGGGGCATCGTGTCCCTACATCCCAGTATGCCTGGGGACCCGCCGGGGAGCAGAAAAATAGCACAGAGGCAGGTTCCATCCTTTGCAGGGCACAGGCTGAGCTCAGTGATGTTCATCTGGTCTTTCCCACTCACTTTAGCTCTTCTTTCAGGAAGGTGCCCTAACCTTATGACTGTCCCACCTTTTCTTGCAATAAATACCCTGTAAACCAGCTTTAGAAGTGTTTGCGAACCTGTGAGTGCTAACCTGTGCGCTACATGTTACAAGCAAAGTCCTGGTGACTGCTGGTAGCCGCAGCTCTTACTTAAGGACGACATGTAATTTACATCCTTTGCTAAAGGCAAACATACTTATTTTCTCTCCTTGGCAACACACATGGTACAAGGACTAATGAGAGTAGTCTCTTTGCATGTATAGGGAGAAAAGATTTTCATATTCAGTGCCTTTATAGTTTGTGCTAGAATGCCTTAAATTCTTCTGAGAAGGTGGAAATTGTATCTTAACTGCATATAATGGAGTTTTATGTAACTGTAGCATTTATTTTTACTGTCTAATGTACACAAAAACAACTCAGAGATGTTTCCGCATCACTTGAAATGTGTGTAACTTCTGAGATGATACAAGGGGAAACATACACGCCAAAGGGCACCGTGAATCGACTGCTGTCAGGTTTTAAGAGAATCTATTTTATTATGTTCATTTTATGTATGGTGGGGCTTACGGTCGAAGATACAGTTTTGTCACCCAAACCATGTTGTTCTGCTCCTGGGTGTCCCCTGGGTGTATCTGAGCCTCCTTTCCTTCATTTTCCAGAGCAGGAGGGTGTGAAGTGTGGCTGCTGTGTTTTGGAGGTGGGAAGGCTGCCGCGTACCAGTCTGAGGTTTGGTAGAGCTGTGGGTCCACATCTGCCAGTTTGGAAGCGTCACGGTCGCTCACAGAGCACCAAATGGGTACAAAGTAGTCTATTTCAGGTTTCCTCTGAGTAAATATAGAACGCTCTTCTTTGCCCTTGTTCCTGTAGTGCCAGCTAATTATCTCCTCCCCCTTCTTGCCCAACCTCACCAGATGCAGTTAATTTACACTGTCTCTGGTTGAATCTCCTCACATAGCAGCCGCTGTACTCTCCAGCTCAGGGGAGGCCTGTTCGTTCCTTGGAGTTGTACACAGTTGTGGAGGGGGAGGGGAAAGCTCAAGGGTAGTTCTCAAACTTTTTACCCTCGAGGACCCTTTTCATCCTGGCCCGGTGAACTCAGGCCTTGCATGACAGTGCCTTCCAAACTGCTATGCATAAGTATTAATGCAGCAACAATTCTTTTTATTAATCAAAGATATATAATAATGAGAAGGGATTTGCTTTTTACTTTTAATCTCCAGTGTGTTGTCGACATGATGCATGACAAGCTCGAGTTTGTGATCAGCGAGAGACGACCAGTCTCACCACTTCCACATGAGACTTTCCACCCAAACAACTTGGCTTTTCAATGTGCCCGTGTGACTGGGTCTTGGCAGAAGTTTGGTTTTCAATAGGTTGCTTGAAATATGAAAAGTAGCTTTTACTACCTTGTGGCTAAAAGTCCCATCAGGGACTTTAGTTTTCGGTTTTCCAAAACAGCCCCCAACTGGGAGGTGTTTCCCCCCTGACAAATTACTACCTGTCTTGATCTCTATGGACACTAGAATTTACTTTTTAATTTTTAGTCGTTTTTTCAGCGTGTTCTTTGGATTCTTGGGCCTCTCCAAAAGAAGGCCAACAGCAGGACTTGCTGCTGTATCTGAGGTCACCAGGGCGCCAGCAGCACCTTCCCCTGTGTGCGAAACTCCAGTCTCAGTTTGGAAGAAAAACAACAGAGCACAGCATAACAAAACAAAACACCAAAATGCAATCCTTACTGAGGTCTGCACAGATTTATCTGTGAAAATCTGTGTGGTAAATACAAATAAAAGGCGCAAACAGAATTGCATTTATGGCCCAGAGGGAAGTTGGAGCTGAGCCTGCTTGTCATAGACTGAAGCTTCTTCCAATACTCTTCTTCTTTCATTGATTCCCTGGGGCTCAGGATAACCTGGCGGTCCAAGGACAGGGGACTTTGGGACATCTCACTGGTGTGGGAGGAGGAAGAAGGTCCCTATTGTTCCTGTCTTCTCAAAAGTCTGACCCATGCAGAGGGCAAGATTTCCGTTTGGGTCTTTGTAGCCAGGTGCATTCTGGGAAGGGAAGACTTTATTTTTTTGGTACGGGGGATCGAACTCGGGTCCTTGTGCTTGCAAGGCAGGCCACCAAACTGCTGAGCTAAATCCCTGGCCCCAGCTAAATCCCCTCTGCACCCGCTTTTTTATTAAAAGGGAAGGTCGGGTCTGTTTCTCCTAGGCTATATATACATCCAGCCTTTTGGGACATTGGTCTCATATATTTCTGAACTCTTTTCCCAGGAGAACCATTTTAAGTGTTGAAGTCTTTTTATTTTCCTTTTCAAGAGTTTGATGATCAACAGAATGACCCTTATTCAAAAGATTCGCTCAAACATATCTATGGTGTAATTGCCCAGGAGGCATTTTCCTGACACTCTCTCCTCTTTGAAACAAATTGTTTTGGAAATTGTGGTAAAATATGCGTAACAGAGTTTACCCCCTTAACCGCTGTTAAGTTTGCAGTTCCATGGTGTTAAATACATTTGCGATACTGTGCTACCAACACTCCCATCCATTGTAGAACTCTATTTATCTTGCAGACCTGAAAATTCTGTACCCCACATACAGATCCCCACACCTTCCTCTCCCATTCCCAGCGCCCACCCATCTGTTTTCTGTCTCTGAGAACTGCATGTATGTGCAATTTTATAACTTGGTCCCCTGTGACCGGTTTATTTCACTTAGTGTAGTATCCTTAAGCTGTCTGCATGGCATAATATGTGTCAGGATTTCTTTCCTTTTTATTGGATAATTTTCCAAGATATGTATAGAGCACATTTCGCTTATCCCTTTGTCTGGAAATGGGCACTTACTTACTTTGAACTTTTGTCTACTGGAAATGATACTGCTATGGACACGGGTATAAAAATAAGTGTTCAAGTCCTTACCTTCAGTGATTTTTTGGGAAGGGCCTACCCAGAAATGAAATTGTTGGATCACATGATAATTTTATTTTCAAGTTTTGGAGGAACCATCAGACTACTTTCCACAGCATTTTACATTCCCATCAGCAGCGCACAAAAAAGGGTTCCAGTTTTTCTACGTCTCCGCCAACACTTGTAATTTTCTGTCATTAATTTATTTTTTAATAGTAGCCACCCTAATGGGTGTGATTCTTTTTTTTTTTTCATGAAGCTTTCTGCAGACGCCATCTTGGTAGGCCTCCTCCCTGGTTCCTGTCAGCTGTGGTCTAGGTTTCTCCTAGGCCCTTCCATACCTGCTTCTCTTTGCCTCATCACTACCTTGTTCCTTCCAAGCCCATATTTGGATCCTCGTTCCTTTGGATTATTCTTGTTTTTCCTCTCTTGTGGCACAAAAACTTTTAGAAAGTAAATGTCAATGAGTAAAACTTTTATTTTCCTGGCACACGTGCTTGAGACTATATCACATCAATCCTGGACATTTGGAAATGTTTTGTTGTTATATTGTT